CCCCATCCCTGCTGACCAGACACATCATATGATGACGGTTTAGAAACGAAAATCCCCGTCAGCCAGTGCGGCTTCTCCTTCCTGGGGGCTTTCCTCGTGCCCCACCACCACCACAGCTCTGTTGGGTCCCGGGCACCAAAGCCCCTCACTGAAGCTGGGGTCCCCCCCCACTATGGGGGTCTCCGAGCCCCACGTGTGCCGGGGGACGTCGTGCACCCACCAGCACCCACCGGAGCCTCCCAGAGCCAGCGCAAAGCCGAGCTCAGGGCTACCGCACCGGCTCCCCCCCAGCGTGCACACACACGCACCCAAAATCCCGGACCCAGGGGTTTATTTTTCAGCCTGATTTCCTAAGGAAATGGGGCTCGGGGGGGGCTGCGTGTGCCTGTTTGCCTCTTGCACTCTGATATTTTCCACCGGACTCAGCAGCGAGACAAACAGCGCAAAGCTTTTACGTTTCCGTGAGTTTAAAAAAAATAAAAAAATAAAAAATTAGTAGCTGAGAAAGGCAGGAAGCTCAGGGGCGAGAGCCAACGGGCACGCAGCCTCCCAGCCCTCCACACCCCCAAACTCCCACCCTGACCACAGGAGTTTCCAGCCCCTTGCAGCATCCTCCAGATCCTCCGTGCCCTTGAACCCCCTCCTGCCTGAACAAGCCCCTCTGGGCTCCCCAGGGCACGGGGAGAGCCCAAAGGCAGCGCTCCCCAGCCTGCAGCCATTGCTCCCGGTGTCCCCACGGCCCCCGGCCACCTAGCAGAGGGACGAGCTCTCCAGGACAGGGGTTTCATGAGCTCTGTGATGGCCAGCAGCTGGGCAAGGAGCCTTGAATCCGTGTTTTTGACTGGGGAGGGACCCAGTACAGCCCAGCTTGTTTGTATCATCCACCTACCTGCCGCCAACCTCCCTCCTGCCAGGGCTCGTCGGGCAGGGGAGCTGGGTGACACATCTTTCGGGTCACCATGAAGGTCTCTCGTGCCATGGGGTGGAGCAGGGTGTGAAGGACCCTCCAGAAGGCAGCACCGAAAGGCGCCGGCCATGTCACACCAGCCTGCGGCCTCGCAAGCATCCTCCTGCCCACCTCAGCCCTGGAAAATGGGGGAGAAAGAGGGAGCCCCCCACACTCTGCTCCATCACCCCACGGAGGTCCCAGAGCGTGGGGCAGCCTGAGTCCCACCGTGTCACCTGTC